TCCTTTTATTTTACAATTCCTTTCTCATCCATCTCTTTTTTCCTTCACATCCCTCTTGTCACTTCAGCACTGCATGGCTACTTGGAGCATGGCAACTGGGTTTTCTCACAGACCCTGAGAAGACTTCAAGATGTCTTGGTTTCTGTTCTGTTACCAATTCTGGGGAAAAAGTGAACATTTATCTGACACCTCGCAGGTGTGGGTACTGATTTCATCCCTACTCACACTACAGGAGTGTCACTGTGTGTTTCCTTACTGTTATTTCTGTCTATTCATTGTTTCAGCTACAAACTCTTAAGGACAGTATCTGCTTCCCACCATGCCACTGTTACTTAATTATTTCTTTGGTAGAGAAAATTTAATTTTTCCTTACATTAGTTCAAAGCAATCCACCAGTGCTAGTTCTGCCGAGCCCACTGGGTGTTGCTTTCTGCCTTCCCAGACCACGACCTGGAGCCATTTGCCCTAGAGAAACCCTTCAGAAGCAATGCAGGAGAGTCACTGCATGCAGATCCAAACCAGGGAGGTGCCAATAGAATAGGCTCTGGCAAACAAAACAAACTCCTGGGAAGTATAAAATTTATTTTGACCCTTGGCAATGCTTTGATATTGGAAGGAGATGGGCTGCAGCAGTCCTCAGGCTGGGGATATTCCCTTGTCCAGAGAAGTTGTGCCAGAGGATGGTGGCAGGGGAAGGAGGGGCACCGGTTGATCTCTGTGATGGTGACAGCTGTCACGGTAATTCCACTCTTTCCCCTTTCCTTCTAGTTTGGTTTACTGAGGAGGGAGTGAAAGGCATAGAGAGGAGGAAGAGGGGATCAAGGAAAGACAGGAAAAGGCAAGCTGATAGTGGTTTTATATCAAAAGGTTAGATGCCAGCTGGATCTTTCCCATTAAATAAAGGGACTTGATGTGAATTCTACTCCACCTCAGAAAACAGCCCCACATGTTGCAAGTGTTCCTTTCCTTCTGCATTTCTTTTTTTGCATTTTAAAATCTTTGTAATTTAGAAAAGCCACTTTTCCTATCCCTGTCACAAGAGAGGCAGGCACAGCAAATGGAAGCTGATGACTTGCCCTGGAGAAACAGTTGAAGTATTTCTCCAAGCGGCACTGCTACAACACAGTCCCATGTCCTGCCAGCAGCCACAGGGAGCCTCCATGCTCCTATCCCAGACAGCCACAGTGTCCATCCTTTATAGGTCCCGAATTAACTCAGCTATTTTGTTCAGTAAAAGATGATTAAACAAGCAGTAAGATGTATTCATTAGAGGCTTCCTATTAAACTATGGCTATAAATACTGGCATAGGAAGGATAAAGCTTCCTCAAGTTAAGCAAGTCAGAAGATAATATTTCCTTCAACTCATCCACAAAATGTATTGGTGGAGCAAGGTGTTTATCAGTGCTACCTCTTAGGAAATCAACAAGTTCATTTTCAGTTCCTCTGACTGCTTTATATTTAATGCAGTAATGTAGTTACCTATTACATAAAACTCCATCATTAAATAGATTCTTCAAACTATTTCAACACCACAAAGGCAAAAGATTTACTCAAAAGAATGCCAAGGCTCAAAAAGAAACATTCACCAGCTAGAGAACAGCAAAACCCTCTTGAATGTAGCATATTTTGCTTCCTTTGCAACTTAATAATAATTCTGAATTCCTTTGATTTAAATGCTTGTTCTGGGATTAATTAAATTTGCTGGTCTGATCCTGAAGCTGCTGATGTGTACATTTATTCTTTCTTAATATATGGTGGGTTTTTTTTCTATATACAGGAGCAGTGGCAGCAAGCCAGAGCAATGCCAGCGTGCTGTACCAAAGAAAGAACTCTAAAGCAGAAGAGTTTGTTGGAGTATTCCTCTTCCCCACTGATGCCAATGCTGCCCTGGCAAGGGGAATCACTTCCACACCTCCTATATGTGCATGGCTGCTGGTGTGAGCAGATACCAGTGAGGCAAGAAGGAACTGGGAGTGTTGGCAGAATATTAGCACATTTACAAGTAAAATTATGGGCATGGCCTTTATCCTGGGTATTTTATCTGTGCCAATCAAGCAAAAAAGTCCTCTATAAAACCCAAATTGAAACTGTGCAAACAGTGTAGATAACAACCTCATGCTTGCTGTGCATCAAACAGAATAAATGTATGATAGCTTGGGAGGTGCTGGCTTGCCTCTGAATGTCTGAAGTTTGGGGAGATTTCCTCACTTTGGGCGTGGGCCCAAAGCCATTCCCAGGCAAGGGGAGTGGGCTGGGGCAGAGAGCTGACCTTTTTATTGCAGGGCTGCTCTAAGGTCATCAGAAGAAACCTGCTGCCGTTCAGCCCGCAGCACCTTTTCATCAGTGCTGCTCTCACTGACACTAATGGGAATTACGATTGTAGTTTAACTTTCTCATGTGCCAGGGTATAGCCGCACACAGTTCTCCTCTTTATAAAAGAAGACCAGGCACTCTATAACTGCTAAGAACAGGCTGTCTGAAAGGTGTTTTATTAACTAAAGTTGGGGAAGAAAATGAAACTGAAAAGAATACGACTGCATATTAAACTACATGAAGTGGTCATGACAACTGGGAATCTCAGTATCATAAAATTTTAACAGCTGGATGCAATCAGTCGGGATTTTCCATTTTTCTTTTTTGTTAAGCTTAAGAAAGAAAAAGAGGAAGAAGAAAAAAAGAAAAATAAAAGCTTCATTTTACTCAAGCAAGCTTTTTATCCAGCTCAGCTTTCTTTGCTTAATAACAGAAATTGTCTTTACTTCTCTATAAATCTCAGCACTGCCTGCACTTAGCTGACATTGTCCTTTTCCTGGGGCAGGGATTCCACAGCTGGAGGTGTTCAATATCCCCAACAGCAGCACGACAAGGAATGGAAACCAGAGAAATGCATGTTACAGGGAGACTTCCCTCGCGTGTATGCAATTTTCAGAACTTACCAAATAATTAATCAAAATCAAATTTTGCCTCACGATTCATCAACCGTGCCTGAAATCCCACAGTAGTTCTTCAGCAAAAGGACAAAGTTCCATGGTAAGTCAGCAGAAACACTTTAATGTTTGCCTGGGCATCTTCCATTTCATCGCATGTAGTCTCAGCCCAGGCTTTCACTTATGTACCTTTCTTTAGCACTGTTTGCTTCATGGTAATGTCAGCACTTGCCTTGAGGTAGCTGAAGAAACATTTCACAGACTGAGCTTTATCAGACCTATAGAAACAGAGGGCATTACTGAAAATAATGTAATGGATTTCCTATCCCCACAAAAAGCATATGTTTAAAAAACAAGGTCAGAATTGTATATAATTTATTGAATGGTATTTCTTGATAGCTCCAGTGAGGACTGGCTTATTTACCCAGGGAGTAATAGGATATTATTCAGCATAACTGAGTTTGATGGCTCTCTGTCTGATTTGTATCGCTTTGCTTAGGCAGCCTTATAAACAAGCATGTTTCCTCAGTTCATTGTTATTTCTGTGTCTGCTAAAATGCAAACTGACACCAAACGTATGACTTCACCTTTCAATGCTTACATGTGCATTTTTGTTTACTAAAATAGCTTCGTTTTTCCTTTACTGACGGCTCATGAAGCCTACAACAGCATCCATGTATCTGAAGAAAATATTCTCTTGCGTTTTCAGTTTCCCCAAATCCCACTTGTCTCCAAAGTCACAGGTTTCCCAGAGCAGAGGTTGCATTCTGTATAAATTCCTAAGCCTTTGTTTTGTGGACTGTGGATGGGCTTTGCCTCTCCTGAGGGACTCAGCACTGCACATTTATACTGAGGGTCAGAGCAAGGCAGGATGGAGCACTGAGGATGCAAAAAGAGCAGATTCCTGGAGAACTTTCACCTTCGGTCTCCCAGTTCCTTCAATAGTTCCCCTAAATCATGTTTTCCATGTTCTTTCACAAAATAATGTGGAAACACCTGTAGAAGGGCCAAAATAAACACCAGCAGATGGTGTTTGGAAAATGTCAGGGGCTGCACTTTGATGAGGTGCTTGGGAAGGGAGCCGAGCACATCAGAGCACATCACCTGGCAGTGCCCATATCAGTGAGCTGTGGAGAAAACTGGTGGGCAATGAAATGCTCTGTGGGCTTGGTCACTGCACAGACCTGGGACAGGGACTGTGTCTGGACTGTGAAGGACTTCTGAGTGGCGGGCTTGCTTCAATCTCAAATGTCTCTAACTGAAGTAAGCAAAGATGCTGCGTGTGCTTTGAGCAGACATATAAACTCAGAGCCACTAGCACAAGTTAAATGATCAAAGAGACAAGAAATACGCTTTTCTATGGAGAGCCGCTTAAAAGTACAACCAAACCACCATGCTTGGACTACGTCATATATTTCAGAGGCTTGTATAAGGCACTGCATGGGGATAAAGAAGAGAAATTGCTGCTCTGGGGGTCCTCGGGAGGATCACCGAGTCATTCCACTCATCACTCCAAATGAACTAGCAGCATCCAAGTGAAAACCCGGGCAGACAACCTCGGAGGGAGATGTCTGAGAGAAAATCAGCATCGTACCGGCACCTGATGGGTGTCACCACTGGGTGACACGAAATGTGCTCTGTAGGACTGGCACTTAGGCTCCGAGCAGACTTTTCCCCCTCAAGGCCAACATCTGAGGGCTGCCCGCGCTCTGCGGGGGACACACGGCGGATGGACTCTGCTCCCGTGTCCTGACCTCCTCCTCGCACCTCCAGCTTACGGACGGCCCGGAGAGCCCGGCGTGCTCTGGCCTCCGGTCGGGAAAGAGGCCAGAGGACAGTAAGGGCGGCCTCTTCCCCCAGTTAGCGGGACAGCATTCCCGCCCCGGTGCCTCCCGGTGCCTCCCGGTGCCTCCCGGTGCCGCCCCGGTCCCTCACGTCTGCCAGGGGCGGCGGGGCCGTGCCCGTGGCGACAGCGCCACCTGGCGGCCGGAGCGAGCCGCGCGGCCCCTCAGGGGGATCCCGGCCCCGGCCCCTCAGAGGGGATCCTGGCCCCGGTCCCTCCGGGGGGAGCCCGGCCCCGGCCCCTCCGGGGGGATCCCAGCCCCGGCCCCTCCGGGGGGATCCCGGCCGGGACTCCGGCTGGGAGGGACACTGTGGCGCGCTCCCCGCTCTGCACGTCCCTGAGCGCCGCTGGGACACTCACACGCGCCTTTTGGATGACTTTTTTTTTTTGTCTTCATTTCCTGGGGCGGTGCTGCCCATGGGGTTCTTTTGCTGGAGCGCCTCCACCTCCCAAAAATTTCTGACCTCCTTTTTGTGTTCGTTTGTTCCACATGCTCATTCCAGTCCCCAAAGCAGGAGCTCACAGACTGATTTTCCCATAGGACACTTGCCTTGCATGCTAGCAGGAACGACAGCACAGACAGGGAGCATCTGAGGTGAGGAAACGAGAAGGTAAGAGCTGAAATAGTGGGCATCCAACCTAAATCACACAGCAGGATTATGAGATAAGGGGTTTTATCACAATAGCGAAGAGGAGAATTGCAGAAATACGAAAAATTGAAAGTTATTTTCCTACATTTAGCATAAGTCTGGAAAGAGTGAAAAGTTTGGAGAGAAGCAGCTCAGTATGTGTTGGTCCATGAGTGCTGGCAATCTGATGGGTGCAGCTACCCAGGGGACCCCTGTGGCCTTTGCTGCAGGTGTTCTTGCAGAGAATACAATTTTTCCAATGATTCATGCTTTTTTTTTCCATGCGCTCACAGGACAGCTCTGTAAATAAACCCTGTGTGAGCTCTGCCTGAGACTACAGCCTCACAAAGGTACTCTGCAAAATGATAAAGCCAGCATGAGCTTCAGGAGTGGTTCTGTAACTCATACAGACCTGGGCACATATATGAGGCTGTCCTGGAGCCAAACCCTGCCCCATGTGTCACTTACCAGTGCCAGAAATACCAGTTTTGTTTCCAGATTACTCTTTGCTACAAGTGTAAAGTGCCAGACCCCAACTGTGGCAGATGGAGTCATGTTACATTCAGTTTTGTCACCTCTGCTAGATAGCAATGACTTTCATCAAGCCACCAAGAGGCTGGCAACGTAAACAGGCACAGTAATGTCTAACAGAGCCTGTCTGTCTGCAGGAACCACTTACAGGCTTAGCATCCAGATTGTCTATGAGACAATACATGTGGTTCTGCAGCTCTGCTTGCACAACCAGGACTCAGGTGCAGAAGTGAGGTTCTTCCGTGGCACCTGAGCCCTGCAGGTCCTTATTTTCCACTCCTGAGAAAGTTTTCTTCTTGAAGAATGAACTTTTAATAATTTTTTTTTCTAAAATTAACATACATTCCATTCTTTCAACTTACTGATGAGTGTAGCAGCCTGCTTTCCATTTTCACAATGTGTTTTGCCCATGAACTTAATTTTCTCATCAGATTTTGAGAGCTGCAGAGGCACTTGGAAAGTTCTTGGCTCATATGCACTGCGCCAGACCACACCTTCTCCTTGAGGAATTCCCAGGCTTTCATTGCAAGACTGTGATCTCTGTAAACTCTTGTCTCTGATGTCTGAATATTTGTAATACTTCTCATTGTTCAGGATTTAGCTCCATCCAAGCGCATGGGGTGACTTGCCATTCACCAGCAGATATGTTCCAGGCTTCCTCCAGCAAGTTTTTCTCACCTCTCCAAGCTCTCCTGTGTACACCAGCAGGCTGTCAAGGAGGGCGAGGAGAAGAAAATCGTGGTCCCCTCAGAAGTCAGCAGAAAACTTTTCACCTGCTTTTGGAGAGTCCATGCCGTGCCTTCCCTGCTGATCTCGCCAATGCTCGGGCAGTGTCCCAGCTCAGTGTCAATGAGGATTTGGGCTGTTCCTGTTGTTTGGGCTGTTCCTGTGAGGTGGATGCTGCTGTGGCCAGGCAGGGTGTGAGCCTCGCTCAGCGCCTGTGTCCTGCTGGGTCAGCCACTGGCCATCTGCACTGGATCCACGGAGCTGCATGGCTGCGGGTCTGGAAGGGGCCTGTGTGTGGGAGCAGAAAGACCACTCCTAAACACAGTCTCTCTGGGTGTGAGAAAGACAGAGTCTTCAAATTGTGCCTGGACTACTCAGTGCTTTGTAAGCTTTGGTGCAAGAAAAGGGAGAGCCTGGGATTTCCAATGAAAGAAAAACATCCACAGAAATAAATAAAATTTAAGACTAATGGAGCTGTAAGGACAATAATTGCAGAACTACATGCTGGTAAATTTTTATCACACAATAATACATATGGCAGCAGCAAATAGTCTCTGTTTTCTTTGCTTAAGCGTATGAACCACTACACATTTATAAAAGCAACCACTCCTATTCTCTTACACTGTTTGGAATATGTTTGAAACACACAGTCAAGTGTGGGGAAGTGTCCAAAAAAGTTGCATCTGTCTGGTTTATGACTGACAGGAAAGGCCAAGCAATTATCTGAACTCCTGATGGGACAATTTTGTTCAGATGTATTTTGGGGTCAGGAGGCAAGGATTTCATCAGAGAGAGTTCTTCAGCTTATGAAACATACAATGTGTCCAAAACAAGGTCTGAAGTTGATTAGACATAAGTATTCAAAAGGAAATGATTTACATGACAGCCCTGGATGTATCGTCCTCTCAGTAAGATCTGACCCAGCAAGGCTGAGATAACTCACTTATGAAATAGAACTTGTGGACCCAATTAAGGCAATCTTTTTATTTTTCCATGGTAATGTTTTTCGGGGAATTAGTATATAAATCTTCAGGAACCAGGTGGAAATGTAGGAGCAGTTCCTCAGCTGGTGTAAATGAGCGTGCTGGAAAACCAGGGCCATGGTTTCTAGATGGGATGACAGGTTTTGCTGTGTTTTGATGCTGTTTGGCAGGGGCTTTGAAAGAGGCAACACAGTTGCCCAGGCAGTTACAAGGCTGCACATGTGTGTGGCATTTGCTGCATCTTTTCCTCCAATGCAGCAGATGCCACACACGTGCACAGCTCTGTCATGGCCACTGTGTCCAGGGGGTCTGCTCAGGAGATAAAAAAATGTTTCCCTTGTTACACAGGGCTTGGCCACCATGAGTATTTTGGGGACACCTGCTGTTGGGATGGAGAGGCAGCAAGAGCATGTGGATTTTGTCTGGTGCAGCATTTTCCTCCTGTTTTTCACCCACAAACCATAGAAGCTGAATGCCTTCATAGGAAAAGATTACACAGAAAGTATAAAAACTAATAGTTGCCCTTTATGTCTTCTCTTCATTTTTCCTGTTGCCTTTTTTGTGGGGAGTGTGGGGTGTGGATGGTAGGACAGCAGACAAAGCAGTCTATTTGCAAATGTTTCATTCTTGGTATGTTTAGACATTGTTTATTTCTATGCATTTGCATTTTTTTCTTCCAATTCTAGCATGCACCTAGAGTTTACTGTGAAAGATTGAGAATTAATATTTTTAAATTCAAACAGGTTCACTTTTTAAACTTTTCTTCTCCCAGATGAGACTTCTTTCTCACACCTTCTTAGAGAGCTTTGCAAAGGTCCCTCATGCTTTTAGCAAGACAGGCTTGATGTCTCTGGAAGATTTATTAGGAGTCACAACTTAATCAAGGAACCAAGAAAGATTCATTTTTCATGCAACTTGTACAGCATCATCACCTGAGAGGCTCAGCACTAGTAAATCTTGCTGGCATACTGTGGAGGGTGATCCCGAATTTTCAGACTGCCCAAATGCAAACTGAAGGGGTACACTGCTTTATGTCTCCTTCCAAGCTGAAAAGAAATATGTTTGTGAAATAAGCCCTTTTGATGGCAATTTAATTTGGGGCAGATGTGCCCAACAGCCATGACATCATCCTAAGGCAGGTCTTTTCTCCTTCTCCACTTGCCCCCTCCCCAGCTTTACGGGAAAGGTATGGAACATAAAGGGATTTATCAGGTGTCTTATCATAAATGTTCTTTATATCCTGAAGTGCATCTGTGGGCTGGTTCTCATAGGTAAAACCAGCTGTTAGCTTTGAATTAGGACAGATAAACAGAAAAAGAAAAGATTGTGCACAGGAAAGATTTCTAGCCATCATGTATGTTGTGGGAAAGAAGAATAAAACCAAATATACATGTTTGGTCTCTGAGCATATGATTTCTTTCAATGTCAGGACTGTCCGTGAATTTACTTTCATCTGAAAGTAAATTCAGCTCTGCATTCAGCAGCAAGCAGTGCTGGTCACTGGGCACCTGGAAAGCTACCGCTGGCTGAGAGATGAGGCTCTGTCCATTTAATCACTGGCACCTCTGCTGAGGCAACCAATGCAGGTGTACAGGAATCCTGCCTGTTGAGTGGTTTTGGCTCTCTGACCTCCCCTCCTCAAAACCTCCAGCCACCACCAGATTAATTTAACATTGATTAACAATAATGTCTGAGGCATGAGGAACACATGAATGTTAGAAGTTAGGTGCCAGTGGCCTGGGAAGTAACCAATTAATCTAAGTACCTCTTTGGAGAATACAAAATTGGAGACTAAATCACAGCCTAGGATCAGGTGGATTTTTGAGTCTAAATTGTGTTTTAGGTTACCTAGATCTTACCCCTATTTCATACCAGAAGAATTATACTAGAAGTACAAAACGTGGAGCTTCAAGCTGTGGCGGGCATAAAGGAATCTTGTAGCATGCTTTTGTAGGTGTAATGTGGAAAGATTGTGTCTCCATTTTCCATAAGTGTACTGGGAAGCATAGAAATTCCTTTGTCTTTTTTCAGAGGTTTTTTATGTTGTGGTTTTGGATTTTTTTTATGTGGAGGTCTTTCAGTTTTCAAAGAGCAGTAATGTCCAGCCTTCTGGAAAAAATGCAAAGACCTCTTGGTATAGTGCAGCTTGTAAAGGGAGACATATAAGATATCTCATTGCTTTAGCCGGTGCTTGTGCTCCACCACGCTGAACATACATCCACTATGTGGCAGAAAAACCCCTGTGCTTTCACCACATAAACCCTGCTTGTTTTCTTGGGTAAGGGGAAAAAAGTGCTGCCATGAGGTGAAAGGCTGCTGGGACAAGGAGTATTGCTCATGACTGCACGGCACTTGCTGGGAGAACAAGATGATCTGTGCTGGTGCTAATAAACCAGGGGAAGATTTTCATGTCCATAAGAACATAAGGATCTGCCTAAATGAAAAAAGAGGAAGGAAAAATGCTAAGTTAAAAAAAAAAAAAAAAAAAGCTAACTTTAGTACTCATTCTTTTTGCTCTTTAAATATCTGCAGCCAGCAATGCTCACAGGGAGTGCCAGGAATACGAAAAGGTTGAGGAAGGGTGAGTGCTAGCAGTCTCAGCCTTTTCACACTTGTTGCTGCTGAATCATAAAAACTCCACATAGCTCCACATAGCCCTGTTTGGGGCTGTGTGAGCTATTGCCAAGACAGTGACATCTTTGGGCCAGCACAGCTTTCCAATGTGGAGAACTGCATTGACCATTCTGAGGGAACCAGGCGGTAAGATTTATCTAAAGATAATAGAAATTGTGTATTTGGGAGTAAAAAAAAAAAAAAGCATCAGAATAAAATTAACTTTTACTGCAACCATTTATTTCTTGGCTTTGTGAAAACTGTTTCAAGTCATTGCCTTTCTTTAGGAGGGTCAGGAGGCCAAGTCCAATGATAAATACAAAACTCTGAGATCATTATTCCCTTCTTGGACTTTAACTGACGAAAAGCTCCATTCTGTTTGGCTGGGCTGCAGTCCAAAGCCCAGTGACCACCCTGCTGCAGCAAAATGCTGAGTTAGGGTATTCTTGAAAACCTAAAACATCACTTATGCTTTTCCTGATAGGAAACAGATAAAAGTCCACTGTGTCTCTATCTTTAATTGTCCATATCCTTGTGGTCATCTTCCTGTAGGCTTGATAGACCCCTGTTGCAGCTGAAGGGTGTAGCAGCTGGGGCTCTTGGTGCCAGCAGGTTTTAGTGCCAGAACTTCACTCCTTGAAGGCAGGAGAAGACTGGCTGCTGGCCAAGCAGCATGTGGGCAACGCTGCCTTAAACCTGACTCTGCTGAGCTTGTGCTGCTGGCTGAGCAGTGACTAAGGCATCCATCTCAGAGCTTTTTAAAGTCTCTGGGTTGAGACTATCTTCTTCACTGGTATTAGCAACATCCACAGGATCTTGGTTACAGTAACATTTGCCTTGTTTTGATCTGGGGCACGAATTAAGTGCATTTTCCGAACAGTCTTCAACACTGACTTCCAGTTGTCCTGTATGTTCAAGGTGGAATATTTTAATGTTAAACTCCACCTTACTTCTAAGTAAGGATGAGCATTTCAGGACAAAAAGAAACTCAAACGCCTTAAACCTGTCCCCTTCCACTGCAGTAGGTGAAACTCACTTTCCACAAAAATTCCCAAGCAAATTATGGCAAACTTCCCCAACTTCTCTGCAGCTGCACTGGCAGGAGGCCAGCAGGCTAAAGGCAGTATCATATTGAATGTAAAGGTGTAATATACATAGCCCAGAGCTACCAGCAGAAAAGGCTCTGTCCTGAATCCTGTGGCTGCAGAAGCTGCTGTGACACCCAATATACACTTAGCCCTGGGCAACCAAAACCTGTACTAAAAACTATTTGTTTCTTCCCTAGCAATAAAGTTCTGTCACTCCTGCAGCATCCTCTTCAAGCTTGAGGCTGAATAGCACAACCTTCTCCTGTGCTCTCCCAGGAGGATATTTCTTTTCCCTCTGACAGATCCTTCACTGAAGTAGGGTTCCCCATGCATGTGAGGGCTGAACAGGAATGCTAATCCTTTCTTCAATCAAGAATGTCTCTCACCTTGAATTGGCAACGATCCCTTTCTGGGGCTGTGGGTGCTGCTGCTCTCACTGTTGGCTACCAGAGATGTTGGGTTTTTCTTTGGAGCACCCATGTGCAGATGCAGGATGAGAGGAAAGGAGCCTCAGTACAAGCTGCTTCCTGCAGACGATGCTGCCTTGCTCTCCTCCTTCCCTTCTTAGCTGTTTCCTTGGGTGCTTGGTGCCTTACAGTCTTGTGATCACTGCAGATCCCAGAACTGATCAGCAGAAAAAGACAATGTATTTAATAATGGTTTTTTTCAGTTTTAAAATAGCAATTGCCCAACTGAGTGGGGCATATGAATGTGTCCCCCATGACTTTCTCATACAGACAGCTAAGGAGAGATGAAATCATTAATCAGTGGGTGCACAAGTGGCTGGAAAACATGCTGAACTTATCATGGTTTGTCATCAAACTGAAAATTCATTTTTAATAGGGTCACCCAGGGTCTGTTTGGGG